ACATTCCTCCACTTCAAGCAACCACTTCAAGCAACCAACTTGAATTCTACTATTAACATCCACATCTATATCACCATCACTTTGAACAATAGATCATATTACGCTTCTGTCACTAGAGCTACTATTACTAAAATTACATTATATGTATTCAGTTTTAGTTCTATATGTATTCAGTTTTAGTTATTCAGTTTTAGTTCTACTCAAATGAAGGCCTTTAGAAACCAATGGAGACATTCATAATTCAAGTTTTTCCTGGGCTTTTTTTCTCGTTGAATTTCCAAAAATACCTCCAAATCACATCAAATTCAAAAATTTAAATTACAGATTCTGTTCTATAAATGTCCAGTAAAACCATCATAACTAAAGCAAAAAGAAATGGCTTAAAGCCGATCCCTGAAGTAATCCAACAAAAATAGGAAAATATTTATTCAATCCTCCTTCAGTTCGAACAAAAGTAACAGTTATAGTATGCATATCAATAATGACTTAAATATAAGTCATATCAACGCCTTTTTTCTCAAGCACTCTCCAAAGGATATCTTTTGGAACCTTATCATAAGCTTCATCTTAAAATCCAGTACTAAGTTTATCCTAAAATTCAATACACACTCAAATGAAAAAAAAAAAAAATAAAAAAAAAAAAAAAAAAATATAATTCTTACGTGGGAAACCCTGAAAGGGAAAGAACCACGGGTTTTAGTCAATTTATAAAAATTCACTATAAGTTTATGAATACGGAGACCACTTGTCCCCACAGGCGAGAAAGAATTACAAATCTTCCTAATTACAACGTCAACGTGTGGATGAACTTGTTGCAAGGAGCGCACGACGACTGATAGCAATAGGTGGCGACTGATAGAGGTAGTCGACGACAATCGACAATGTTCGACAACGGCAAGAGTGATGTTGTACTTCAGCTCCTTCTCAAATCTTCAAGCTATTCCTCAAGCCTCAAGCTCTCATTCCCTCTCATGTGAGGGGTAGGGCACTATATATAGAGTCCAAACTGCAATTAATAAAGAAATATGAACCATTCCAATCAAACAGCTGAAGAACTTTTTTTTATCGGACGACATTTGATGGACATTTGAATATTTTAATGATGTCAGAATTGAGCGGTCTTAGGCTCATTGGATTCTTCTTGTCAAAACGTTTGATTTGATTATAAGCTTGCCAGATTTGACATTCATTTGACCTTTCAAATATGTTTAAAAAACTTTCAAAAAAAAGTTTAATGACTTGATTTGACTTAGATTAGACTAATTTTATTACAATTGAGTCCGTCTCACCAAACCGATCATTTTTACTGTAAGTTTGCTGAAATAGAGCTTCGTAAAAAGATTATTTTAAAATTCATGTCATTCCAAAATTAATGGTTGACCGATCTTACTGAATAAATATTTGGAAAAAAATTGAAGAATGTTAATTTCATAAAAAAAACATCATTAGCAGCTTACTAAGCCAGTTCAAAGTTACTACTGCACCAGATTGTACTTCGAGGGTCGGGATTAGCAGTTCTGGAGAGGAGATGGGTGGATGGGGAACGTAAGGCAAGCTGGAGTTTTGCGCACTCCTGTCTCGTTCTTCGTGAGCTCGAGAAGAATGGGTTTGGATGGCGTCAGTTTCGTTCATCTCTCCTACTTCATTGTTTTTCTGTACATGTATTTTCCCGCTAGGGCTGGAGCCTGTAAGTTTTCTTCCCTTTTCTATTATTTGACCCTCTCTGCTAGCAAAATCTTATATGGTCTTGTAAACATGCTTGGATGTTTTGTTTCTTTCTGTTAGATGTTTTGGTAGCGTTTCTTGCAAGATGGGAGTGTGTCATTAGCTTCTGTTTCTCCTATTTTCTTCTGCTTGAACTGCTCGTTATCTTTAATTCCCTCATTATTGTTTGAGTTATTTTTCACTAGCCAGGATCCTAGACGGGGCTAACGAGTTTAGCTTGCTATACTGTTCATAGAGCTGAATTTTGTTTGATAAGGCTGGATCTGTGACGAACCCCTTGATGTATTCAAATAACTGGAGTAAAGTTTCTAGTAAAGAGATTGACGAATTGCTTTGATCTCTAGGGCCTGTCTGAGGGGCACGGAAGCTTTCTTTGCCCTTGCCTCTATTAGTATGTGAATTGTGATGGAATTTGATATGTTACAGAAAAGTTCATCAGGTCAAGCATGAATTCAACTTTTAGATTTTAAAGCACCCAAGGATTTTGGTTAGAAGCTTCAAGAAGTATTTTTGAGATTCTTAACTATGATTTCAAGAATAATCAAGATGGTGTAGTTCAATGAGATAAATCCAATGTTGTGAAGAGAGTTTGGATCAAAGTGCACGTGAGCATAAGTTAAGCACTTAAAAGTCTAATTGAAACTTCTTGGGCCATTTGGTTGGTTAAGCATCTTTCAACTTTTGTGTGCTCATGGTTGAAACAAGATAGATTCAATGAGTCTAAGTTCAATTAATTCAGAGTTCACTAAAGCATTGAGATATTAAAAAATCATAAAATTTATATGGACCTATTTAGCTTGTTTGATGGAGTGTCTATATTATTTCAGGAATTATCAAAATACCATTTTCAAAACTCTATAAATAGTCCATAGTGTTATATATTTTGGCAGGCCTTTTGGTGGAAAAAATTCTCATGCTTAGTAAAGTCTAGACTTATGACTGTCATTTGGAATCCCAACCAACATCTTTGGGATTTCACTTCCAAATTTTGTTAGCTTTTATTGCAAGCTATGGGTGTCTCTTTGAGCTTCCATTTCTTTTTTCTAGACCTATCGTGATGATCTTTATTTCCTTTTTTTATTTGTTCGGCTTCGTCTCTTTTTTTTTATGGCTCTGATCTAAATTGGGACTAAGGAGGTTAGCTAGCCATACTGTTAGTGGATCCTAGCTTTGTTTGATACATGTGGATCTGCGATGAGCCCCATTTATATTCTTAAATGCCTTCAGTGAGGTTTTAATATAATGAGCTTTATAAATTGTTTTGCTCTCTAGGGCATGTCTACATATTATTGAAGTTTGAATCACCTTTGTTGCCCCAACATCCATTAGTTTGTGGATTATGGAGTTCTGCCCTCGAAAGGTTCATTCGATTCAACATGGATTTTGATGCAATTTTTAAATCACAAAGCATTGGATTATTAGACCATTTTTTTATAAATTGATTTTATGATCATATGAATTTTGGTTTTAGTGCATTTAGAGTTGAGACAATATGGTTTGATGAGATGAGCTCTTTGATATCAAATTGCTTTGATTGAAGTACAAAAAAACATAAATTAAGCCTTGGCCTATTAGGACAAATTGAGTGGTCAAATATTTTATAAATTATGTCTGCTAATAGTCGAAATAAATGTTTGAGTTCATCAATTTTGAGTTCATCACTAAGATTTACAGAAAGCATAAAATGACCAGACGGGTCTTATTTAGATTATTAGAGGTCGTTTCTTGGATTATGTAGAAATTATAATAATGCCCTTTTCAGAAATCTATAAATAGGCTAAATATCATTATATTTTGGGAGGAATTTTTTATGTAGAGAATTCTCATACTTAGTAAATTTTGAAGCTTTAATCACTTTTGTGATTTTCCCCATCTACTTCATATTTTTGGGTCACTTGGTCATCCCTCCAGTTAGGAGGAAAATGACACTAACCAATTTTCAGCATTTAACCTTTGATGTCGATGATTGTCATCGCCTACTATTTACTAATGTTGGTAATTGTTGTTGTTCATCCTGTAACATCCACTATGGACGAAATTGACATTCATAGTTTCTTGTTTGTTGATATTGATTCTCATCATTGCCTATTCTCTAACATCATCGCTCATCACTGCTATCAACTATGCCTCATCCTTTGATGTCAACGTTTTACCCTTCAACTTATTACCTTTCAATGCTCTCCATTTTCATTACAAGAGACATCTCTCATAGTTTCTTCCAGCTACTTAGAAGGGTAGATATTTATTGTCTATAACTTACAATAATGGAATTATTTAAACTAAGTTAAAACATGTTTTTTTTCCCCTATTTTTTTACATAAAATATCCGGCTTCTCATGTGTTGTGGGTTGTTTGTATGTTTACGGGATTTTCATACAATATTAAAGTGATAAACTCTTTATTTACTTTCACAAATATTTTAGCACACAACATAGCTAAATCCTTAATAACTTCTAGCATATTTATATTTGGATAACACTATTTAGTTGGTTAAGATGCTCCTTAAGGAATTTGTTATTATAATATCAAAGTTTTATATCTAAAGGTAAATAATTTTGTAACTTCTACTTTTGCTTGATGTTCAAGTTTTTAGATGGGGAGAGTTAGAAATTTCTTTCTATGGTGGATTTATTCTTCCAATTTTAGATATTTGGTATTATTGAATTGAAGTATTAGCCATAAATGCTAAATAGTGGAAAAAATTATTCATACATAGGTTTGGTAATTACGATTGAATTTCCCTGATAATTGCTTGAGTTATAATTTACTCAAAATCAACATTGACGGGCTTCGACATGAAGATGCCTAGCCCGAAATAAGTTCAATGTAACTTGAAATTAGCTGGTTATATTTAATATGCACATATTCTGTGTGTGCTGATGATATACACATATACATATATATGTATTCTCCATTAAATAACACTTTTTGGTTTGACTGGAATCTGGCTTGAATCAAAATTTCTTTCTATGGTGGATTTATTCTTCCAATGTTAGATATTTGGTATTATCGAATTGAAGTATTAGCCATAAATGATAAATAGTGGAAAAAATTATTTATACATAGGTTTGGTAATTAGGATTGAATTTCCCTGATAATTGCTTGAGTTATAATTTACTCAAAATCAAAATTGACGGGCTTCAACATGAAGATGCCTAAGCCCGAAATAAGTTCAATTTAACTTGAAATTAGCTGGTTATATTTAATATGCACATATTCTGTGTGTGCTGATGATATACACATATACGTATATATGTATTCTTAATTAAATTACACATATTTTGGTTTGACAGGAATTTGGCTTGAATCAAAATTTAAATCTTTATTGTATAGTTTAGGCCTTTTTTTTTTAACTTGGCTTGATATCACCCATATCCTTATTAAATATCAAGCTTGTTATATGTTAATAAAAAACGTTGATGAATTGAGAATGCTTACATGGATTTATCTTAATACTGTATAGCTAGAATATTTATTTTATGATCAATGTAAACAAGTTGCAGGAGTTGCATTCGATCAGATAAAAGGTTTAGTGATACATGTGGAAATGACATACGTTTTTTGGTGTGGAGGAAATGAATATTGGCAAGACTGTGTATTTAAATTTGAAAAGTAGTGACATTGATTGTATGATATGAAAAACTTGCTTATATAGACAGAATAACTACTTCATTCCACGTCTGTATATGAATTACTATACATGGGCATATAAGAGAGAGAGAAGAATGCAAAAAATAGTTTTGTGTTCAATGAGTTAAACCAAAACAACGGCCTTAAGTTTTGTATTTAAGATTTGCAGTAATGTTTAGAGGCATTTGTGGTGCATGTATTTTATGTGTTCTACTTAAAGATACATATATTATTGATTTTAGTGTATCAAGCAAGCAAATTTATGAGTTATTACACATAAAACCAATACATCTACTTAGAACTAAGACTTTCTGTGCTGATAGTTGCTCCCAATTTGTGCAGCATGTCCATCTGGTTGGGTAAGTAGTCCCAATAAGAGCAAGTGCTTCACTTATGTGGGAAATTTTCTTCCTTGGAATGGATCAGAGGCAGTTTGCCAAGGTCATGGTGGTCATCTTGCAGCTCTAGAATCATTGAAAGTGTTGGATTTTGTGCAGAATCTCTGTGCTAGTAACTCAAGTGGCTGTTGGATTGGTGGATATGGTTACAATTCAAGTCGTGGTTATGTTTGGCACTGGTCAGACAACATGACAAATTGGAATGAGAATGTCTTACCCGTTGAAAAATCTCACAGTATTTGTAACAATGCGTCATGCAACGAAAACCCAAACACTTCATGTACTTTGGTGACAAATACTCATGCTGCTCTTGTTGGTGAGAGATGTGATAGGCCACATGGATTTTTGTGCATGCTTTATCAAGACACAGTTTTGGCTGGTATAAACCACTTCTCTATAAATTCCAACGTTTTCTTTTTCCTAGATTTTCAAAAAATGAAGAACACTATGAGTGCAACTTTGATATTGTTCAATTTAGTTCACATAAGAGTTAAAATGTTATTAGTGTGAAAGAAACTTGTTCTTTTGTTACTTTACTATTATAAATTGAGTTAAGTGTCAAAATAGTCGACTATTTACATGAGATCATTTTAGTCCAGAGTTTATAAAAATGTTAAATTAGTCTCTAGTATCCTTCATTATGGGCTTACATAGTCCTCAGAGAGTACTGTTTTAGTTCTTATTGAAAGTTATGTATTAAATTGACAATTTTTAGACTCTAGGACTAAAATGCCCCCTGACAATGAGTTAGGGGTGCATTTTGACACTTTTCTCATTATAAATTGTTATGTAGCACTATTTGTTGTCTTCTTAAATGAACTGTAACCAACAAAACTCTGACATTTTTGAGAAATTTTGGAAATCAGAGAACAGATGCTCCCATAAGCAGTGCCATAAAGAGTATTTCATCATACTTATGGTTGTTAGTCTATTGATACTTGCCACTACTACGGCTGTTGTGGTATGGCTTCTCGTCTATAAGCGGAGCAAGAAAAGGAGGCGATCACACAAATCATCTGGTCCTTCAGCAGCTGCATTGGTTCCTCCATCATGGAAGGTTTTTACGATGGAAGAGCTGATTTCCTTTACAAAGAATTTCAGTGAAGGAAGTCGTCTTCCTGGGAACACCAAAACAGGTGGAACATTTAGTGGAACATTGCCAGATGGATCAAGGGTGGCTGTAAAAAGGCTGAAGAGATCCAGCCTCCAAAGGAAAAAGGAGTTCTATTCGGAGGTTCGAAGGGTTGCACATCTACATCATCCTAATTTAGTCGCTGTCAAGGGTTGTTGCTATAATCATGGGGACCGCTACATTGTTTATGAATTCGTTGCGAATGGACCCCTGGATAGATGGCTTCACCATGTTCCAAGGGGAGGCAGATGCCTTGACTGGGCAATGAGAATGAGAATCGCAACAACTCTTGCTCAAGGAATTGCGTAAGTATGAATTTGCGGTAGTGATGTGTTTGCTTACAGTGATTGCCCTTGTACTTTTGAGTGTAATTTTCTGCCTCTATAATTTACTCATTTTCTTTTTGGCGCCTTACAGTGGAATTCGTAAGAACTTTGTGAATAATAAATTAGGGAAAATGCTTGCTGTCTACATTTTATGATAAACTTCACAAATTTTTGTTCTTACAATGAAATCTGTCTATATTTTTCTTTAATAGTTCCAATTTGATATTTTGTGTGGCATTCTGATTCAAATAATATATTAATTGCTGGGATTTTTTTTTTCATTTTGTTGCCTTTTTTTATAATATATCTAATTTATGTTTATTTGTCCTTTTTTTTCCTGCTATCATTCTTAAGCTAAGTGTTCCTGAGGATGATGGCTGTATATTTTTTATTATATTTCACTCAATTATTTATTTCTCGAGCAAGCAATATGCTTGAAATTCATGTGCTTTTGACTATATTTCGCCCTGCTATCTGTTTTTTTGCGGTTTTTCTTGCTTATTTTTCTGAATAATATTGAATGTCTTTACCTATGACTTCAAGGCTTTGTGATACTGATGATAACCGGCTGTACATTTTGGTCTGATTGGTTGCATGTTGTAGAGGCTATTTTTCTTTTGCTTATTATAGCTCATCATATTTAGAATCATGGAACAACTGCGCCGATCTCCATTCTTGTGTTGCTTTGTTTGTGAGGATATTTGAACATTTGGATTCAAGAAATACAAATCCAACTCTCGACCCTCACGTACCTATTTGTAAATAATTAGATTAGAATTTCTTAATTTAGCTGATGAGAAAATGATTAAATTTTATGCAAAATCTGAGTCTTGCTTGTATTAAAAGGGCACTGACATGGCAATATATATATCTTGTCATTCAAAGCGAGCTAAATTTGCATTTTGCATAGAGAAATGACATGTTCTCCAAACAAACTTGCAGATAAATTCATGTCATATCATTATTTGATTAAGTGGATCAATAAAATCTTTCTCAAACAAAATGTATGAAACTTCTAATTTTGATTGGGCTTCTAAAATAAGTGTATCTCGACTAATTTTTGTGAAGATTAATTTGATGAATATAGTAATACTCTTTTAGATGTTTTGTTTTGAATTTGATGGTGCACTCTATGCTAAATTAGATATTGAGGGTGGTTAAAGCATGGTTATTAAGGATTGCAATCTATGCTTCTAAGTTACATACAGATCTGACTATACATACCTTCAAAACGTGAGTTTGTTCTAGATGAAATTGGTGAAGGGAAAATTTATTCTAACCCATTAAATAATCATCAATTTGGATATTATTCCTAAATACTTGAAAAGCCTTTCATACGGAGGCAGCATTTGATTTGCTTACCATATGGAGTGTTAATTTACTTAATGTACCCTCAGTAAAATTATTATTCATATACTCATTATTTGGTACTTTTCCAAAGACCCTGGTAAAAATTTTTTGAAAATTTTTTTAAGTTTTTCAAATTTTTTCCTGGCATCAATAATAACATCTGTGCAATAACATCGCAAGCTTGTTAGAACTTCAAATCTTGATCAAGCCTTTTAACCTTTTCTCTTCAACTGAAAATGATGTATTATGTCATCTGCAAGACATTATGTATGGTAGTATAATATCTTAAATGTTTAAAGCTTTACCCCTTCTAATTCTGTAGCTTCCTACTTTCAGGTTTCTGCATGACAAAGTTAAACCGCATGTAGTTCACCGCAATATCTGCGCTAGCAACGTGCTCCTCAATGAAGAATTTGGAGCTCACCTTTTAGGTGTTGGCCTCTCCAGATGCATACCATGGGAAGCCATGCATGGAAGGACGGTCATGGCCGGTACTCATGGATATCTCGCTCCTGAATTTGTCTACAAGAACGAACTCACCACCAAAAGCGACGTGTACAGCTTTGGAGTACTGTTGCTAGAAATCATAAGCGGTCATCGTCCCGCTCAGGCTGTCGAATCGTTAGGCTGGCAGACTATTTTCGAGTGGGCTACCCCTCTTGTCCAGTCTCACAGATATCTGGACCTATTAGATCCAGTAATTCTAGACATTCCAGAAGTTGGTGTGATTCAGAAGGTTGTTGATCTTGTTTATTCTTGCACTCAGCATGTTCCTTCAGTTCGGCCGAGGATGTCACATGTTGTTCATCAGTTGCAGCAGTTAGGGTTGAGAGCTGCGGCGGAACAGTCGGCCGGTGGCGGTATGAGCTCGAAAGGGACATCCCCAATGTCAGGATTTGAGATTGGAACTTCTTTGGTTTGAGTAGCAGGCTTGGTTGGATTGATGAAGCTTTAAGCAGGCTGGAGGGTTATTTTATTAGGTTTGCTGTGGAAAAGATTGCTATTTGAGCTACTTGAGCCTGCTTGTTATTAAATTTTTTCGAGTAACGGCTACTTATTTGTTGTCTAAAATGTTGTCCTTGCATTTGTTCTCGCTGCTGATTGCACCGTTTGTTCATTTAGTATTTTTTTTTTAAATTATTATTATTTAATGCAATTATTTATTTTTTTATTTTAATGAATTAATTCATTATGTTATTTTTATTATTTTATTGCTAGAAAGTTTATTTATAATATATACTTTATCTTATTTAATTGGTGCAATTTATTTGAATACTAACTTTTATTCATCCAAGTTTATAAAAATAGTTTTTAATAATTTTATATAAGAAGTTGGTTACTTTTCCAAAATATTATTTTATTTATTAGCTTATTAAAGTATTCTTTCAGATAAAATAAAAAATCAAGTTAATAAATCAAGTTTGATTATTAAAAAAAATTAAGTAATTTATGTGTGGACATATGAAAGCCCAGATTGAGCTCGAGCTAAACATGAACATTATAAATAATCTGATAGAGTCAAGTCCAATCTATGATATATTTGGCTCGATACAGCTTGTGTAGTGTAAGTAAGAAAATATATTTTTGAAAAAGTGGTGAAATTGGTTAGAAATATTGCATGATTTATTATAATTTGAAATTTAACAGGGATATTAAGCTTTTATAAACTCCCTTGCAAATCAAAAGTGAAATGAATCTTTGCTCAAGTATATATTAAATTCTCACTTTGTGCCAACCTTTTTTTTTAAATATGCCAAAGGATTCCTATTCCAAGCAAATTTAATTTGAGAATTTGTTTGTATATATTATGATTTTGTTCATAATTAGTATTAATAAACCACTATTGTAGCCATCCCGTTAGTTTTTATTAACTAAGAGAAATTTACATAAATACTTTGGTGTTATAAATCTATATATGAAAATATATTTTTCACTTTTAAAAAATAAAAAATAGTGATATTTCTGATGTAATATTAAAAATTTACATGGTAAAATCTAACCTTGATGATGAATATGATTGAATATTTGCAACTCCATTTGGATAAATTTAAATCCACTTTAAGACCATGATATTCCTCTATAATTTCATTCACTTAACATGCAACAAACAAGAAGTTAATACAAGGAGACCACTTGACTTTAAAACTCAAAACTTTTCAAGGCTTTTCTAAAAGAATAATGCCCATTCTTCAGTGGCTACAACAACAGTTCAATCTATATTCTTATATACATTTTCTTATGTTCGAAACCATAGAAGGTTAATTCTTATCACACTAACTTTTGTAACTTTGACACACATTGATTTTCAATTCAACAAGTAGTTTGCTTGAGTGAACTATTTCAACCAATTGATTGATATCGAAATGATTATTTTAGATAATATTTCTTTCTTTGTTTTTTTCTTTTTCATAAATTCTAAGGGAATAAGTCCTTTCTTAATTCAAGAACCCTCTGCAAGATCTCTGCAACGGGTTAAAATTGATCAAGTAGAGCATCCTGAAAGGTGTGAAGTGTTGACTTTGTGAACACGCAGTATATGTGTGCTTAATTTTGATGATAACAAATACATGTGTGAAAGTTTCAGAGTTTGCACGTAGTTTAACACAAGTGACTAGTTCATTTGAAGTTTTAAGAAAAAGATAGCACAAGCTTAATAGTGATTGAAGTTCTTAAATCAAAGAACATTTGAAGATCTAGACGTTAAAGTACCGATTTTAAGAATAAAGTATCAACCAAATGAATAAGTTGCTCACTTTTGTAAAGTTTAAAGTTATTATTCATTCATGAAAATTTTTTAATTTAGCAAATGTTACAGTAACAATCTTTGGTTTTTATCCGATAAAACACTCAATTCTTATGTATTTACATGTTAGACACTAAAAATTTGTTTTTTTTATATTTATAGCACCCAAATCTTTCTTATCACATAAAAAATACCACCATTTTAACTTTTAATAGGTGAAATACACCATTTCATGCACAAAAAAAGCTAGTATATGTATGTAAAAGTTGAGGCTTGGATGTTAAATGTGTAAATGCATCGAAATTAAGTGGTATGTATGAATTGAAACTATTTGCTCAAAAAAACCTTCTCATTTCATTGATGACGGGCTTACATAGAGCTTTATAAGTTATAACATTTACAAATAAATCTCTAGACTTCATCTATTTACAAATAGAAACACACATTAGATGCAAATCTCAACACTCCCCCCTCAAGATGGGCAAAAGATATTCACTAAGCCCATCTTGTCACATAACCTAGACAAATCTAATGGGCTCAGTCGTTTGGTGAGGTTGTCAGCCACTTGCTCTCTAGTGACTACATGACTTAGCTCCAGAAGTCTGTTATTCAGTTTTTCTAGATGAAGAACCTATTAATCTCCACATGTTTGGTTCTATCATGTTGCACCGGGGTGTTGGTGATGGTGATTGCTGACTTGTTGTCACACCACAACTTTATTTGTGCTCCCTGGTCCACCTTAAGCCATACCAACAAGGCTCTGAGCCACATCTTCTCAATAACTTTTAAGACCATGGCCCTATACTTTGCTTCTATGGTTGATCTTATTACAAATGACCATTTCTGCTCTTTCACAAGACCAAGTTGCCACCTACAAACATGTAGTATCCTAATGTGGATCGTATGTCATCAGCACAGCTTGCCCAGTCAGAATCACAAAAGCCCTCAATATCTACATGCTCATGCTTCCTGAATATCAACAATTTCCCTGGTCCAATCTTCAGATACCTCAGAACCTAATACACTGCATCCATATAAGTCTTCCTTGGATCATGCATGTAGTAGCTCACCACACTTACTATAAAAGAAATATTGGGTCGAGTGTGGCATAGATAGATCAGGCAGTCCACTAACCTCTCATACCTCTTGTGATCAACCGACTCACCTACCTTTGTACTAAGTTTGACCTTCTGTTCAATTGGAGAGACTACAGTTTTGCACCCCCACATACATGTCTCAATGAGAAGATCTAGTACATAATTTCTCTAGGATAGGACCATCTCCTCAAGTTAATGGCCCACTTTAATCCAAAGATGGTACTAAACTGCCTCAGATCCTTTGCCTTAAATTGCTTCCCCGATCTTCTCTTCAGTTGAGTAATCCCTGCCTCATCATCACCAGTGATAGTTATGTCATCCGCATACACAACAAGTATGGTAGTGTGACCTTTATGTTATTGAAAGAACATAGTGTGATCTGCATTGATCTGCTGATATCCCATGACAACCATCGTCATTATAAACTTTCCAAACCAGTCTCGAGGAGACTGCTTCAAGTCATACAATGACTTCCTGAATCTACACACCTTGCCCACTGTTTGGGATATACTGAATCATGGTGATATCTCCATATATCCTCATCTAGTAGCTCCCCATGAAGACAAAAATTCTTCAAATCTAGTTGGTGGAGTCTCTATTCACCATTCACTATCAGCGAAGCCAGTGCCCTCACTGTATTCCATCTTTGCTACTGGTGTAAGGTTTCATCATAGTCAATACTATACGTCTGACTGTACCCTTTTTCCATTAGTCGTGCATGATTTGTACCTCTCCACCTTCCCTTTTGGAGTTTGTTTTATCTTAAAGATCCACATGCATCTAATTGTCTTCTTCTCTGCTGATAGTGGTATAATATCTCATGTTCGAATTTTATCAAGAGCTTCAATCCCACCGCTTTCCACTTGGGATCCTCTTTAGCAACCTACCAACAATTGAGTATAGAGACAATTTCCAATGATGCACTGAATGTTCCATGAAAAAGCGAGATGTGAGAATAAGAAATAAAGTTCGGAGTTTAAAGTTCCCACCCAAAAAGATCAGGAGGATGTCTCTCATTACTGCGGGAGGTCCTCCTTAACGTTAGGAGGTTAGAAGTGGATGAATGAGGAATAATATCACCTGGGAGTTTTGAATCAAATATGGACGGTGTAGGTGTTTTGAGAGTTGGGAAAGATGAAGACAATAGACTTGTTGGCACTACACTCTGTTCCCTCAATTTTCTTCTTCCTCCGTGTATGCATCTTAACTCACCTTCAGCCTGAACCGCACCACCTTTGGGGTCACTCTCCTCGATTTTTGTCTTCTCAGTTGATTCATCCCACATCACAAGACATGACATTGCTCCCACTTGCACCACTCCGTTACAACTACTACTCACTCTCTCTTACCTCATATCTCTAGTGGCTATTGAATCAGAAAAAGAGTGAATTCACCTCCAAAATGTAGTATGGTTTAAATTCTCTAAATGACATAGTCATACTCACAGAGAGTCTCTTCTCAAAAAGGCTCCAATAGATATAACCCTTATGAGTAGCAGAATATCCCACAAGCACACATTTTACAGCTCTTGGATCCAACTTCTCTACAAATAGCTTGTTGTCTTTCACAAAGCATACACATCCAAATACCATCTATGGAAGGATCCCACTATCGTCTCATTTCAACATCTGACAAAAAAACTTCCACTTTAGTACTCTTAAGGGCATCCTGTTAATCAATTGAGTGGCTGTCAAAACTGCTTGCCCCTATAAGTGTTGTGGGGCATTCATTTCCAACAGCATGCTCCAGGCTAACTCTAGAGCATGTCGATTCTTCCTCTCGCGACTCCATTCTGTGTTGGTGTGTATGTATATGTGGTTAGGTGTTGTATCTCTTGAGCTAACAGATAGTCCCAAATGCTTTGTTGATATATTGTCTCATTATCAGATCCAGGCAACACGATAAAAAAAAATAATAAACATAATAAAATAATGATAATCATTCATAAAACAAGTAGGACAAAGTCCCCATACATCATAATATATCAAATCAAACACACTAGAGCTCCTATTTCCAAAACTGACATAAGTGTTCTTAGTGAGCTTGTCAAAGTCACGAGCGTCACACACCCTTTCTCCTTATTTGTCTTTTTATACATAGGTGGATACCACCGACTCAGTAAACTAAGACTAGAATATCCCATACATATGTGGTATAGTTGTAACACATCATTGATGTTCTAGTACTTTCCACTCTCAGTCCAAGTACCAGAGTCTGTTATGTCACGTTCCAGTACCAAGTGTTTGACCCGTCCCTTTCTCTTAAAAGATTACTAGAGGAATATCAAAAAAATAATGCATTTTAATTGAAGAATAATGAAATTAATGGATAAGAGGTTTACTAAAAAAGGAGCATGCAAAATGTTGGGCAAAGTTATATGATTGATACATCTCACTGTATCCTTACTAACTACTGGCTGCGTTGTACCATCATTAATCTGTATACTCTTTAGTACTGCTAGATGAGTATATAAAAAGAACTCTCAAATAGTAAATGTTATGTTACTAGAACACCAGATCTATGATCTATTTTGATGGTCATGTGATGGAAATAAAGGCAAGAACAAGTGTATCACCGGTACCTTTGTTGAAGTGAGCATAAGTGGCAATTTTACCCCTTGATGTTGATGGATTTGAAACATCCTCAACTCCATCTCCTGCTACTTTCTGCTTCTTCTTCAACAACTCCAACAACTACAAATCCTTCTCATAAAGATTACCCTCTCTCTCTCCCTCTCATCCCCGACTGCCATCAAATTTGCCTGATAACCACCTCTTTGGCCTCCACGCCTACGACCACGACCTCTAGACTGTACACATCCACCTATTTCTCTCTCTTTGGGTAGCTTTGGACAAGCTTTGCTCGGGTGTCCCACTTCTCCACAGTTGTAGCACCTGCGGGTCCACCCTTAGGTATCTGTCATACCTGAGCTCAAAGCAGCCAAAGTTGATTGTGCACTTTGTAGTCCACTCGGCTCAGAGTATAGCCTCATACGACCCTCCTTAATCATCGCGACAATGGCATCTTCTAGTTTAGGAATTGTTGCCTGGGCTAGGATAAATGATCTCCTCTGATCAAAGGTCGGGTTCAGGTGAGCTAGAAACTGCAGACCTCTTCTGTGCAAAGATCTTCCCCTTCTTGCACCTCAGATCACCACATCTTGACATAGATGAGAAGTGATCAAGATCTTACTACATCCGCTCCAACTCTATAGAGTACTCTTGAATTGACTTGTCATCCTGAACCACTGTCTTTATCTCACGCTGAATCTGGAACACCATCATGTGATTCTCAGCTTCAGTATAGACCTTCTTCTGCATTGCTCAGATGTCACTTACCTTTCGAATGCCATCCACTGATGAGAAAGTCGATGACTCTATCGAGTTGAGTAGCGAAGTGCAAATCAATGCACGTGTAGTCCTCCACTCATACCCCTCAATACTACCACACTTTGGCTGGACCCCCATCAGCTATCATTCTAGTCTGATTTGATGCGACCAACTCAGATATGTGGTTGGTCCATCGAGCATCAGATCCAAAGGAGGGAGATCTAGTTTCACCTGTGCAAAGCATGTGCCGAGGTAGTGGCTTACGTCGAGACTCTAGCTCCTTGTATGTGCACAACTAATAATTTCAGAACTTCGAGTCCTATCGTCCCCAAAAATTCTAATCCTTTACCTCTCGCACTATCTTCGTCTCCTAACATCCTCAATAATAAGAATAAATTAAAGCATGCATAACACATGGGACTTCCAGTAAATTTGTAAATTCATGTGATTCACTTTACTTTCACCCGCACAAAGCCACAACCTCTTTTATCTCTTTTGTCTCGCATGCAAAACCACAGATGCTTCAATCCTTCGCCTCCCTGCCTCGAGTAGGAAAAATATTTACGTACGTCATACAGATGCAGAATTGCATAGTATGAATATTATTTGGAGGGTATTGGAGGGTTATGTAGCTGTTATTGAGGTTAACACCCTCAATAATCTCACAAAACCCTCAAATGAAAGAAAAAAAAGATGAGTGCCAAACTCTGGAATATATTGATAAGTTATTGAGAGGTTATTCAGATGTTATTGAGGTTAATACCCCCAATAACCTCTTAATAAGCCCCAATAACTAAGTTATTGAAAAGTTATTCGGGTAATGCGTACAGAAATAAGACTTCTTGAGTAGAACTCCAAAAACGAAGCCCCACTACACTAACTTCCTAATTCCGGAGCCTCAATTCCATCATATCTTATGTAGCAAATCCATCGTTGCCTTCTAATTGCAACTGTAACCTTCAGCTCGATCACGTTCCGCATGACCGAGCTTGTCGCGCACCGTCCCGAGCCGCTCGAGCCACCCTGCACAGAAGCCGTTGCCTCCTCCTTCCCTATTCACGCGCGACCCATGCTCTGCCCTAGCCCACAGCCCCTTCTTCCTCGCCAGTCCACTCGTGACCGAAGAAGGGAATGCAGCACATAGAAGAGTCGCACCGTCGTTCCTTCTCCTCCTCTCTGCCTTGCCCCAAGCCGTCGTCGTTCCTTCGCACACCGTCGTCACGTCAAGTCACTGAAGCCTTCGCTTGCGAACTAGCGAGCACAAGAACAGCTGTTAGGGTAAGGGCTGACTTCCTCTATTTACAATAGCAACCTACATTGGATACAAATATCAACGGTATGTAAATCTTCCTTATAACAAATGTCTGAGAACATCGTCTACAAAAAGGAAGCCAGCAGAAATAAGTTTCTAATGACCATATTATATTAAATCTCATGTACTGAGACATATTAATGAGATAAGAGTTGATGAATTGCCCATTTTATTTCACGAATGCTGGCTCTCATTCCACAGGGTTCTTTGACCTGTAAAAATTTGTATGGAAGCAAGGTGAGAAGAGTAAAAACTGCTTTTTTATGGTAATAAGGCTGCAAGCTTGTTTTTTATTGTTATTTGACTGAACTACATTGTTGTTGATAAAAGAAGACAGTAAATATATTTATAAATAAAAAGAGGCATTTATACACATGCCACATAATTCTTATAAATTTACATATATAACATGTAAACTTTAATATTTACATGTATAACACTCAAATCCTTAACTTTACATAAAAAAAAAAAAAAAATACAACTATTATTCACTTTTTAAAAGTAAAATATACTTTTTTATACATAGACAATGTGTTAATATTAAACTTTAGGTTACATAAGAATTGAGTGCTGTGCATGTAGATCTTCCATAAAAAAAAAATGTGTTATTTATGTATTTCTGATTCTCAGAGTATATAGCAAATCAATTTAACGTTTGATTATGACATAATAAATGGAAAATTAAAGTGTACCATGAAAATACCTTTGTCTTAAATTCTGCCATAAACTTGCCATTAGCCATTGTGGAGTTGACAAAAGTGGTCTCCAAATTGAGCTCATCAAGTTTCTGCATAATTTTTAGAAGTATTCCATCCTTGTAATGACACTGCAATCTTATTACAGCATTGGACTCAGTTATGGAAACTTGTATTCCTAAGCTGGAATCACCCCATACTTTTGTTGCTTTTTCTGGTGAGTTAATTTGATTGTGGGAATCTGATACTTTCACAGCCAACAAATTTGATGTTTTCTTGTTTTGAGATTCGAGATCGTGTATATGTTGTCTTAGTTGTCTGACATGTTCGATCGTATCAGCTAAGATCGAAGCCTTGTCCAACTGGATCAATCAGATAATAATTAGTTATTTTACTAGCATTTTGAACTTTAGGGTTGTTTGCAACTTATGAATTCAAGGATTTCATTAAATTTTCTTAAAATTTATCATTCAATTTTGTTTGGTTGAGAAACCTCCAAGGTGTTCCTAAATGATTCTGATTGGTATGAGTTTTTATTTATAAGCCTGGTCTAAGGCAGTTTGCTAAGAAAAAGGCCTGCTATGGGTTCCAACTAGTTTAGTTGATAAAGATCTTGAAAGTTCTTTTGTCAAAATTGCTATGTAATAGGTGAAAGATTTTTGATAAAAAGAGTAATAAAATAACAAAATCTAAAAAGAAGAACAATGCACAAAGAACCCACAAAAAATTTTATACAGGTTAGCTTAGCTAATGGCTGTCTTGTTGCCATCTTTGTAGGTTTTACCATGATTTGATGATTATTGAGAAAATATAACTTCAATCATTCTTGTACGACATAAGGTGCCCTCTCCTTGCTTCCTCTATTTAGAAAATTTTAAATCAAAACAATCCCCTACCTCTTTGCAAGGATCCATTTTAATCCTAGAATCTATAAAAGTGCAACTTAATCCTTATACTCTTTTAATAGAGGCTAAAATAGTCCTCGCTAGAAACTATTTCAACACATATTGAAGGAGTCTAAGGACGAATTTATCATTTTATCTGGGACTAAAATGACCCCATATAAATAGTCAAAGGATTGTGTTGGTGCTTTACTAAAAAAAATTATCAAAACATCTGTAGAGAAGTAACCAAATCCATGTTTTGGTCTTATTCATAGGGTCAAAATTATGCTCCACAACTTAACAAAGGTCATATGATCGTCATCAAACAACTTAATTCTTCCACTAAATAGAGATCTAAATTAATTTTAGCAAAAAACATACCTTTGTCACGCATGGAACTAAGGCACGAAGAACCATGAATCTCTTGTTCAACTTCTCTCTTCTTCTACGTTCTGCAACCACATGGTTTCCATTTGTTTCATCTTGAAGAATTCCCTTCCAGCTTCCACTCTTTTTACCTCTCATGTGAGCTGAATTTACATATGTTTTGTCGTGTATATTTGGGAGAACGGATAAAATGTCTTTCAGCATCCTCTGGGAGGTTCTGGTCTCTGTAATTATTTGATTTTCATTAAACCATTTGGAGAATGCCGACAAGCTAAGTTGACTAATAAAGCTCCCTTCTGAGTAATGAAAATCTTCTGGAGGTAACTCAGTTACCTGCATGCTAACTGGAAAGAAAAGAAGCTGGTTAATTACCAGTTCAATCATTTAGGAGTGTTCTGCAACTGATTTCACCATTTTTTTTTATCTGATGAACTATATTATTATTTTTTAAATTTCGGGATAAATCACTTGTTTTTCTATAGTAAAACACAAATTCATACCTAATAACTACATTGATCAAATTTAAGATTAAGTATTTCTCGGCACTTATTGTTGAGCTAGTAAAAAGAATCCGACAAGTATCAATAACCTACATACCACTCAATTCTTAGGTATTTACATACCTAACACACGAACTTCAATTTTTATATTATATGAAAGATTTGGGTGGTATAAATCTAAAAAGCAAAATTTAGTTGTTAGTTTGATATGTAAATACATATGAATTGGGTGGTATGTATGTAAATGTCCCATTTACTTTAATATAGATGGAAAAAGTGCTACTACTACGGGAAAATAACTAAATACTATCTACACTTATATCAGAACTTGTCAGACACAAATATTTGCCTCAGTTTTGTTTGCGGCGAGTGTTATTAATGACGAAGTTTGGGTTGTTGTATGTCGACGCAACAACTTTGCGTCGACATTAGCGGTGGGATTATTCATCGTTATATGTCACTTAATAGTGGAGGTATTGCAAACGCTGAAGTCAACTCAAATGACAACGTTGAAAAGGGTCGATGCAAATATGATGTCTAACCCTTAAAATCTAAACCCGCGCCTGCCAGGCTCATTCATGCTCTCTACTGTTTTATTATATTCTCCAGAGAAACCCTAGCTACCCGCAACCGTCCAACGATCCTGTGACCGCTTCTATCTTGTGATCGTCCGACATCATCATGACTTCGACTAATCCTCGTATCTGAGCATTTCTTTGAGGTATTTTTTTTCCCGCATTTTGTCGAAACCTTTGTTTTTTCTTTACCGACTTATTCCATTTTACTTTAGGTTTAGTTATTAGTGTTTAGCCATGCCTTAAGTGGTGTTTGGCTACAAGTAGGATTTAGTAAATTTGAAAATTTTAAATCTATTAATTCCACCCTCCCTGTGCATTTAGTGAAGCTGGATTTAAGCCAAATCGAAGGAAGAATTTTGGCCTTCAAATCCCAAAATTTGTAAATCTATAGAACTCTGGCATTTTTGTGTTTGGTAAAGAAGTGTTGGGTAAATCCATTTGTATGTATATATATATATATATGCATTAATTTGTGAGTACATGTGCTTGTTTCTATGTGTATTTATGTGTGTGTTTGTGTTGTTTTGTTTGTATATATGTGTTTGTGCATCTCTCTCTCTCTCTCTCTCTCTCTCTCTCTCTCTCTCTCTCTCTCTCTCTCTCTCTCTCTCTCTCTCTCTCTCTCTCTCTCTCTCTCTCTCTCTCTCTCTCTCTCTCTCTCTCTCTCTCTCTCTCTCTCTCTCTCTCTCTCTATATA